ACTTAAAAGAATTACCCTGTATATATTATATTAATTATATTAATACTATAGTTAACTTCAACTAGTTAGTAAAATAATGAATTTCTAAAATTTAAATTGATTTTAAATTACTTAACATAATAAGAGAAAAAATTTAATATTAAAGACTATTTGATATAAATGATATAATTAATGTTCCTATAGTTTCTTATATAAATAATGAATTATACATTTTTAATATATTTGAAATAAATAAATAATATATAAGCAATCATAAAAACAAATCTTATATTGTGTCAAAAATTTTCTTAAACAAGAAGTTGAATTTAATTATATGATCTTATAAATCACTGATATAAAATARAATTAAAAACAATATTTAAAAAGAAAAAAATCGTTTCAAACACAGATTTGACATACCTTCAATTAGCGTCCATGTAAACGAACAAAGTAACAAAATATGTAAAATTGCTGCCATAATTGTACAAATAAAAACTATATTTTCTTGTGTGATTCCAAACATAAAAAAACATTCAACCAAGAAAAGGCAAAAAAATACATTTTTCAAAATTACTGTCCGATTTGACTAAAAATAAAAATTTCAATGTATTACTCACATATTAATATACAAAAATATAAAATTAAAAATTAAAAATAAATTTACTTTAACTGTTAATTGTAGAGTAATTGCGGCCAATAGAAAACAAATTCCAGAAAATATACAACTTATATACATGACCATATTATTTGATGCAATGCTTAAAGGTTCACTATCCGAATTTTTAAGATCCATTAATATAGCAAAATTTGTCAAATGATTACATTTGCATAATGTATGAGTTTGATTTGAATATATTACAGAACATCCTTCTTCTGACCATCCACTGTAAAAAAAACATCAGCATAATAAATGAAAAAAATTATAATGGACACAAAAATTCAATACATTATAGATTTTTATTTAAAAAACTTTGTATTATGTCATCACTGGTTAATAAATTACATTAATAAATTTTATAATAACATACAAATTAAATTTTTGAAAGTTGTTATTGCATTAATTTCCTTACTATTAACTGATATTAAAGTTAAACTAGCAAGCAAGTTCCAATGTGCAATAAATAATATATATAAAGTAACAAAATTCATCACATGTTTGTTAGATATTAAATAAGATTCACCAAAACAATTTGATTAAAAACTTACAGAACACATTAAAACAAATAATATAATTGTACAGTAAAATTATTTTTAAGTTTTTTTTTTATATTTTATCAACTCATTTTGATTAAAAAATATATATAACTCACTTTTCTGTATAATCCCAAAATACACAAGTAGGATTACTAACATTGTCAATTTGAAGATGTTGAAAACATAATTTTACTGGTTGATGTAATTGAATATGTTTTCCTTTACCAAGAGATGCCGATATAATTTTACTATTTATTATTCGAACACCATTGTTTGATTGAGGTTGTAAAATATTTTCTAGACTGTCAAATGCTATGTAAACAAGTCTTATGAAACCAGCTTCACTATTTTCAAGCAATGCTGTTCTATGCAATTGTAACCATGTGTCATTCATGAAAAATCCAGCATTAGATGAATACGAATGTGGAAATACTTCAGTGTTAACATTTTGTGTAGCAATAACTCTTACACTCAATACTGAAAAATAAATATTTAAATAATATTTAATAATAATTGATGATATAAAATATTAGTAGCTTACAAATATTTTGAACACTATGAGTGATTGTCTTTTCCTTCATCATAATATCAGCAAGTAGAAATGAATTTTCTTCTAGACCAATCAATAAACTAGTTGCAACACGCATTTGTTCACTAAACGTCAGGTCTTTCCACGAAGGATATTGAGAAGCATTAAGCAAATTGCTGCCAATCCGCACGACACATTGTAATAAATCAGTAACCATAGCCTCCTGTTGTTGCTTATCAGGAAATGTAACCATATCCTTTTCCATTTTTTGAGCAACATCTCGTAACATTTTTGTTGTAGTCATCATATCACCA